GTGGGCCTAAAACAGAGCCTTGCGGGACACCAAACTTTACCTTAGTATGAGAAGAGAAGTCACCATTTACGTTTACAAACTGATAACGATCAGTCAAATAAGACCTGAGCCAGGAAAGGGCTGTTCCCTTAATGCCTACTACATTTTCTAGTCTATCGAGGAGAATAGCATGATCAATGGTATCAAAAGCTGCACTAAGATCAAGCAGCACAATCAAGGAGACACAACCCTGATCAGAGGCAAGTAGTAGGTCATTTACAACTTTAACCAGTGCTGTCTCTGTGCTATGATGAGGCCTATCAGTTATCATCTACCAGAGGTGCAAATACTAGCCTTGTGCAAAGTATCAAAGTGCAGGTTGAATATGCAAATATATACAGTAAATAAATAAGGAGGCTATGGGAAGTGAATCTGTGCAGTAGCTATTGAGTAGATAACAGTATGAATGCTAAATTACACTATGTTATAATAGAAAAACTCTAATTGGTATTAAAAAAATATATGCAAGTGTAAGAGGGGTAAGGTCAAATTATAAGGTTCCAGTTTTTTAAATTATAAGGGCTCAAATGATGCAGGTATGCATGCTGAAAGATACAACTGAAATGACTATTGCCAGAGCTCCATTCAGTCATGAAGACACGAACCACCACATCAACAACTCTCCTCTGCATGTGCATCATCGCGCCACCTCTCAGCCATAGCTCAATTACATTCAAATCAAAACTGACATATAAATTAATCATAAAACAATTTATCCAATATCAAATAAACATTTATAACAATTATACAAAAGAAAAAGAAATGTCCTCATTTCTTGTACAAACAAAAACAAAACAAAATAAATAAATCTCACACTTAAATGTCACAAAGTTACATTACATACAGTGAGGAGAAAATAACATACCACAACAGGCAATATCAGAAAGGTCATAACAATGTTTACAGGTTTAACGTTACAATAAGCTTTTTTTATTATTATTATTTTTGACAATGGTCAAAGCAACATAAGTCAAAGCGGCCACAGAAATGCTTAAAAAAAGCAAAGAATGTCTATAAAAAGATAAAGTCTATTTCCTCAAATGTCAAATTAGTTAACTGAATAGAAAAAAAAGAAAGTTCAGTCAATCTTGAGACAGCAAATTAGATTAGAATATGTCTTATTCCACAATCAATGCCAACCTCAACATTAAAACTTTCTAGGCCTTTTACCAACATACCTTGAGCGAGTTACTACACCCTCAGATGGACAGTGCTGCCCAGCTACTGAAGCTGCACTTTCAAGCAATTGAGGTGGCTGTTGTACTGGCTGATGAACAGCAGGTATTCGCCTGTAGGGCAGAAGCCCTGCTATCACCAACCTCAGGCACTTCTGAAGTCAAAGAAAGAGACCCTGACAAGGCAGTGTGTGTTGATCTTGCCTTCTGAGCCCCTTTTGTTAAATCCTGACCGGTATCTGTGGAAGAGTTGGCTGGTTTATCACAACGAGACCTATAAAGCTTCAAGCGGTCATAAACAACTTTGGGTCCTGTTTTAACATTCCTCAGGTCCAATACTGTGTAAATAATGCCATTCATATCTACAGAAATAACCCCATAAGGTCCTGTCCATTTTGGGTCTAATTGCTTTCTTTGTGTGGACGGATCATTCATCTGTGTCTCTGATTTTGAAAAGATGAAATTTCGAATACCTGTTGAAGTAATACTCATGCCTAAGCCAGTTGATCTGCACAGTTGCTGAGTACTTCTTGGAACACGGTTTTCATACAATCAACTAAAGTAGAGCCATAGTTCTGTGAACTCTCTAAGCTAGCACATAAAGGAGAATCAATCTGAACAAGCACAGGCAGATGAGACTCAGAAATGAGCTAATAAAAACTGTGATTAATGAGTGACAGAATTGGGTGTAGCATTAAATGATAGTACAACTGCAGGCAGGTACTGAACTTTGGCTAACTGATCCTTCAAAGTCCTATTGAATCATTCTATCCACATGGGTGGTAAAGAATGGTTCTTTTCTTTTTTATTTTTAGCCTCTGACAGATGTCCTTCAGAATCTTGGACTCATACTGATGCCCCTGATCAGAAAATAGTTTCTCTGGGATACCCTGCTCTGGTATGTGTGCCACTGTACTGGCTTTCTGATCTACCATTGCATATGCATTGAAATATTTAGTAAAATGATCTTACATTACCAACACATATCTATTTCCTCTGGAAACAACAGTAAGTAACAGGCATTTCAGTAATATCAGTGCATACAAATTGAAAAGGTCTAAAGGCACAAATAGATTAGAGAGGTGACCGTCATTGAGGAACTCTTTTGAGTGTGTGCTCAGCACTATAGTGTCCAGCACATGGATCACCATGTAATTAATGCAAAGTGTCCCAAATGACAGCATCAGGAAAGACTGCTTGATAATTCTCAGGGTTACCTTGGGCAATGCAAGCTCTATGGCAAAGCACTTCACTACCTAACACCATATGTGGCAGTGGTAGCTCAGTGGCTAAGACATTAGGCTCCTGATCGGAAGGTTGAGAGTTCAAATCCCGGCACTGCCACTGCTGGGCCTTTGAGCAAGGCCCTTAACCCTCAACTACTCAGTTGTTTAAATGAGATAATTGTAAGTTGCTCCGGAAAAGGGCATCTGCCAAATGCTGTAAATGTAACCAGAGTTGTCTCATTTTCCCTTTAATATGCCCAAGATTAGGTCTCTTGGTTTTGAAACCAGCTATACACCTGTGAGAGAACAGGATCTTCTGGTACAGTGAAATGTCCTTTCCATCCCTACACTAAGGAGTAGTGTACTAGACTTGGTATTCGTGTCAACATTAATTCAATTCAATTCAGTTCAATTTTATTTGTATAGCGCTTTTAACAATGGACATTGTCACAAAGCATCTTTACAGAAATAAATGGATTAAAAAATATATATTGTAAATATGTCAATTTATCCCTAATGAGCAAGCCAGAGGCGACAGTGGCAAGGAAAAACTCCCTGAGACAATATGAGGAAGAAACCTTGAGAGGAACCAGGCTCAAAAGGAAACTCATCCTCATCTGGGTGCAACGGATAGTGCGATTATAAATCATTCCCTTCTATAACTGTGTACTACATGGACAAATAGTGTCCTGAGTACAAAGATGCTCGTGGCAACTGCAGCCCCAAAGCCACTACAGCAATCGCAGTCCCAAGCCATAACAGTACAGCTCTCCATATGTGATCCCCAAACCATCTCCACAGCCCCCAGGTGGAACCATCCCCAGCAATCCAAAAGGTTCTTCAGGCCGTTCATATGGGGCCACCCCCAGCAGCAGCGCGCGAACTCAACCGATGAGAACTCCAACCAGAAGTAGGGCATCAGGATGGGTCAGGCAGCGAGGAGGAGCAGAAGGGGTGAGGATCACTGCCATCTCAGAAGTAGCATGTGTAGCTCAACAAAGAGTGAGGGAGAGAGAGAGATGAAGAGAGAGGGAGAGAGAGGGAGAGATTGTTAGGTAAGCTTTTGTCCTCTAATGGTTAAGGACAATGTACTTTGTATGCAGAGTGCAAGCAGGGACTCCGGCAAGACTAGCTATGACAGCATAACTAAAAGGGTGAGCCAGAAGCTAACAAAGACATGAGGGCACCCTGGGACATAAGGCAGCCAGCCACTCCACCATCTACAAACCTGAGTGAATGCATGAGAGTGGGGGGTGACAGCATCCAAACATCCCAGTTCACCACAACACTCTATGCCTGTGAACCCTCCAGACCTGCCCCTGTACCTAAGAAAAAACTATTCACTAAAGGCTTGACTAAACAAATATGTTTTCAGCCTAGACTTAAACACTGAGACTGTGTCTGAGCCCCGAACACTTAGTGGAAGGCTGTTCCATAACTGTGGGGCTTTGTAAGAGAAAGTTCTACCCCCTGCTGTAGCACGCACTATTCAAGGTACCAACAAATAGCCTGCACCTTTTGATCTAAGTAGGCGTGGTGGATCATAAAAAAACAAAAGTTCACTCAGGTACTGTGGCGCGAGACCATTTAGTGCTTTATAGGTCAATGGTAGTATTTTATAATCAATACGAAATTTGATTGGGAGCCAATGCAGTGTGGATAAGATAGGGGTGATGTGGTCATATCTTCTGGTTCTAGTAAGGATTCTTGCTGCTGCATTCTGGACTAACTGGAGCTTGTTTATGCATCTACTGGAGCATCCAGACAGTAAGGCATTACAATAATCCAACCTAGAGGTAACAAAAACATGAACTAATTTTTCTGCATCATGTAGTGAAAATATATTTATTTTAGCAATATTTCTGAGATGAAACAAAGTGATCCTAGTGATATTATCTACATGAGCTTCAAAAGAAAGACAAGAGTCGATAATCACACCACAGTCACACAACATTGTCACGAATATTGGCAAACCAAGCTGAATATCTGTGCAGCTTACACCAGAAGAAACAACGGTCTAAGAGATGACAGGTCATCTGTTTGGATAGACACTGTCTTTGTTAAGGGTTCCCGTGCCTTCAGTGAGACTACAGGAATTCTAGACATAGGGTCCAGTGTGTGTTTGTTTCCTTGTTTACAATCACCCATTCATAAGGATCTAGTTCCATAGCCCACCCACCTCTACATCCCGTGGGCTCAATATCAAAATTCAGTTTCCTGAGACCAACAAGAGGTTTGTGATCTGTGCCTCAAAAGGACAGTTACTCAAGTAATGATGAAAATACCTGAATGACCAAACTATTGCCCATAATACTTTGCCATATGTAGTCAAAGTCAAGTCAAAGTCAAAGTCAACTTTATTGTCAATTCTGCTATATGTACAGGACACACAGAGGATTGAAATTTCGTTTCCCCCAGACCCATGGTGTGAGAAACCAACATAACAAGACAAGTAATATAAAAAAAGTAAAATAAAATAAAATAAAATAAAATAAAGTATGTACACTATAGACATTCACGGCACATGTGAGTGTGAAGATATTTACATTTAGTGCAAACAAGAGAGAGCAGCATTTGTGGAAGTGGACCTGGTTACATTGTAGTGCAACAGAGAGAGCAGCAGTAGTAAAAGTGGCTTGTGCATTTGTGTGATTTGGGGTGTGTGTGTGTATGTGTGTGTGTGCAGTTACAGTTCGGTGACTCTTAAGACAGAGGGCAGAGAGGGGAGAGAGTTCAGCTTCCTGACAGCCTGGTGGCTGAAGCTGTTCTTCAGTCTTGTGGTTCGGGCCTGGAGGCTGCGAAATCTCCCCCCCA